AAAGAGGGTTAATTTGAGTGTCAACATAATTTTCACATCACACGCTAATCGAGTCTGTGGATCCCCTTGAGGATGTGGGGTTTCACATCCTTACAGAGATGTTGGACCAGACTTTCGATCGGAGGCCAGGGACATATTGTCGAGGGATGGGAAATGCCAGGCGGTGGGAGAGTGAAGCCTCTTCATCTTCACAGTCAAAGGGCGAGGTTACAACTTTGACGCAGGAAATCACTGGCCTGAGGAGTGAGCTCACATCGTACAAGACTCAGATGTCATTGATTGTACAAGCCCTCAGTTCCTCCGGGATCTATCTCCCCAATTTTTTTGTACCACCACCGTCATAGCCCTTCCACCTCGAGCATACATAGCAATCAAACCCGTTGACCTCTGACCCTATCCCCAACCCCACCCTTTTCCAGCAGCAAGATTACCAAGCACCTCCGAACAACTTGCCCATAGATTATGTCTCATTTTTTTTTGTAGTTTTTTTTCCAGCTTTCTTTTTAAACTTTGTATTTGTACGTATATTTTTTATTTATATTATAAATAAATTGTTTTTCTATTCATTAATTTGTTTTTTTTGTCAATTGTATGAAATATATTTTTTAATAGTATTCCATTTATTCTATTTATTAAATTATTTTTTTTAATTAAAAATTACACTTGCACTACGAAGATATGTCGTCGTGCAAAACCACGCGCATCTGATATGTTTTATCGCTCAAACATTTTCGAGAAATTTCTCATCACAAAGCACACTTGTACCCTCTTATATTGTGCGACAAAAACCTTTGTCCATATACCTTTCTTGCGATGAGCAGTAAAGCGTCGCGCAATCATTTAGCTAGATGACGAATGTGCACTCTTTGTCGCGCAAGGTCTTTCTTCGCGACCTTTGCGCGACAAATTCACGATTTCTACGTTGCCATAGGCTTTGTGCGACCTGGAAATGCTTTGTTCGACAAATACTCCCTCGTCGTGCAAAGTGTTTAATTTTGTAGTGTTTATACAAACTGACATGACCTTATAAGAACAATCCCTACTATTTGTGCATCAGGCTTCTTGGAATCCAACTTGATCGTTTAAGAAAATTTGAAAGGGTACTTGGACGTGTGTATAAATCAGACAGCATGATCAATGTAGATTTTATATATACAACAATTTAATTCATCTTTCTTGTCTCTAAAATGTGGATTATTCTTTTGTTTTGAAATAAAGAGTTTGATGTGGGGTTAATTTATGATTGTGGGGTGTACGTGAATGTGAGGTGTGAGTGTCACATCGTAGTCTCAGCTCCGCTGTAGCATTATATTGTCCATTTTGGGCCCCGACCACTCCTTCACGGTTTTGTTTCTGGGAACTCACACGAGAACTTCCCAGTGGGTCACCCATCTTAGGATTGCTCTCGCCCGCACTCGCTTAACTTTGGAGTTCTGATGGAACTCGAAGCCAATGAGTTCCCAAAATGCCTCGTGCTATATAAAGGTGGGCATGTATATATAAGGCACATCACCCCCTCTCCATTGGTCGATGTGGGGTGTTACAATCCACCCCCCTTAGGGGCCCGACGTCCTCGTCTCGTCAGCACACTCGCACCACACAGCAGAGTGGCTTTGATACCATTCTATAACATCCTAGTCTCGGCTCCTCCGTAGCACGATATTGTTCGCTTTAGGTCCCGACCACGCACTCACGATTTTATTTCTAGGAACTCATACGAGAACTTCCCAGTGGGTCACCCATCCTAGGATTGCTCTCGCCCGAACTCGCTTAACTTCGGAGTTCCGATGGAACCCGAAGCCAATGAGTTCCCAAAAAGCCTCGTGCTATATGGAGGTGGGCATGTACATATAAGGCACATCACTCCCTCTTTGTTGGTCGATGTGGGATGTTACAGTGAGGGTAGTATTGGAAAATACTAGGGTGTGTTATTTTAATTTTAAAAGTAAATGTGAGGTGTATTAAGTATGTGGGTGCAGTCAATAAAGTATGAGGTATTAGTAAAATAACACATCTACTTATAAGTTTTAGTAATCACATTTTTAGTACTACAGTCTGGTGGTATTCATCTTTACTTATAAATTAGATGTCTTAGGTTCAATTCTCGCCAAATGTGAATTGGAGCCTCGTATTGCTAGCCCATTGTGAGACTAAGCCCACTCTTTGTCCCCTTTAGCGTAGATAATATTGTTTGTTCAAAAAACAAAAAACTATAACTATAACTATATATATAAATATATATATATATATATATATATATATATATATATATATTAGATAATGGATATATATTGCATTAAAAACTAATAAAGGAAGTAAGACATTGCATAACATTCCAAGAAACGATAGCAAAAATTCATTAAAGTACATTATATACATGAATTGAACAATTCACGTTGGGAAATAGAAAAAAAAAATTGTGGGGAAGAAACCTAATGACCGCCATACACCACTAGAGAATTTTATCAATGTGTTTTCTTCCCTTATTTTATTAAACTTTAAAGTAACATTGCAATTCAAGGATTACGAAATCCCAACATCATCTCCACCGTTGCCACTTCCGAACAGTTATGGAAACTGCTTTGTACAGCTCCAGCAGCCTTCTCCATTGCTAGCTTCCTTTTTGCCCATTCCAAATACTTAAAGAGATACTCTCGACGGTCCTCTCCATGCTCTGGAACTCTCATGTTAAATTCTCCTCCACCATCAGATGGTGGAACGTTAACTTCTGGCTCCATAGTTTTGATCCGTTTCTGAATCTCTTTCATCTTCTCCTCCGTAAACAAAAGCAAATTGGTTAGCTCTCTATCTTCAAATGTATGAAATGGCTTACCATTTTGAGTGATCTGGTGCATGATATCATTCACCTCCACATCAAAGTTCTCTCTTTGAATCCTGTTGATTCGATCTTTAAGTTTGGTTACCTTCTCCTTGAGGTAAGTTTCCTGGTCCGTCATCTTCGCCAACCGCGCGGGAAATGGTATGCTTTGGTACCTTGCAATTAGTTGTTGGAGTAATGGGGGCTCAGGCCATGTACTAGGCTCACCAGTGGCCGGGTCATAGACAATGGTGAAGCCACCCACATCACATAAGGTGGTTATTTCACGCATTTTTTTAAAAAAGCTTTCTCTACTTCTTTTGGAGGTGGCTTTCCGAGCATTATCGTTCACTATCCAAGCAAGTTTCACTTTGCTCCTGGGCATGATTGATAATGCTCCTCCTATATATTCACCTTTTTCCCACTTCAACTCATATGCTTCATGTTCCACCCACCCAAGGCTATTTATAGCACAAAGGGACAACTAATAGGGTTGTCTAGGGTGTAGGGTTAATTTGGTCATTACCATTTTGATGCAAAAAAAATAATTGATTTAATTTTGAAGTGGTCTTTTCTTAAAAAAAAAGAGAAATTTATTTAATTTTCTGGAAACAACATCAATGAAGGTTAATTCGATCACCGTTTCATATTTTATGTTTAAATGTGTCAGATGAAATAACGACAAACCTCAACGCATAACGATCGTCAAATAATAATGCTTACTGTTATATCAAATAAGCAGACGAGGCAGAGCTAATGTGCTTCTCTTTAGACCCGAACCCCTTCTTTTTAGTTTAGGTTAATTTAAATACAAATATCACTTGCATAAAAAAAAAACATTATACAAAATAATGATTTTGAATTCGAAGGGATGAAATGACCATTTAGTACATATAAATATAGATAAGATTATTTTAAAAAGTAAAAACCACATAGATGGAAATTTCTCTCTCTCTCTACATCTTCTTAAGTAAAGGATTATTTCCTTATAACATATCATCATTATGTTATTGCATTATATTTTAGTTTTTCCTTATAAAATATTACCATTCATGTATTTGTAGGTCAGATATTCATTGTATTTTAGCGTTTCCTTTTATCGTATTACCATTTTAGTCATCACACCCTGGTTCCTTAATATTATTTCCATTCATGCCATATTAGTCAAACATTCGTTGTATTTTATTTTTTTTCTTCTTATTTTAGTTAGGAAGTAAATATTATACACAATTTAAAAAGGAAAATCCCCAACGATGATGAAGTGTAATATAACGTTGTAGAATAATTAGTAATACCGCCCTGATGGTGTATATAATCGTACAAAACATAATTGTGATAGAGATATAAGTGAGCATCTCAGCCCCTCAAAGCTAAGTATTTCCCCATAAATCGTTTTGGACGGCTGAGATTGGCTCTTGCCCCTCAGCTTGCTGACGTCCACCGCAAGAAAGTGGATTTTAGTCACAACATCACAATGTGAAATTTTTTGTAACTACATGTATATTAGTCACTTCTCGTTACTAATGTTATTTCATTTCAATAATGTGTTTGTGACTTAACTTAAATAATTGTAAAAATTATTAATAAAATTAGGATAAATTACATAAAACTACCTCAACTATTGGGTCAGTCACAATTTCATACCCCATCTTTAAAAAAATTCAATGGCATACCTCATCTACGAATTTGTTACAATTTCATACATTCCGTCAATTTGTCTGTCAAATCTCCATTAAGTAGTGACGTGGCTTGAGACGAGACCCACTCTCTATTAAAAAATTAATTAAATATTAAAAACAAAAAAAATAAAATCATTTAATATATTTTTTTGCATGGGGGACCCACCCTTTCTTTCCCGCCCCCGTCTTCTTCAAACCCAAAACCAACCAGATCCCACCCACCCCTTCGACATCCCTTGCCCCTTCCCCAGCTTTGCTGACCACCTTCAGCTGTCACTCGCCCACCTCACCCGCGCCACGCCATCGCTCAACTCCCTCCCTCCCTCCCTCCCTCCCTCCCTCCCTCCACACCACCATCGCTTGACTCCCTCTTTGAGGCGATGACTCCGCCTTCAATAAATTGGGTCAACCGGCCCTCTCTCTGCTCCAGTACTACTTCTACCATCTTCCCCTGCCCTTCCAAACCCTCAAATCCCTCCCCCCCCTCCAGCACCAAGATCCCGAATATACTTTCCAGCCACCCCCTCGTTGCCAAATTTGGGGTCATACCTTTCTTGTTTGAAACCCTTTTCGACTCCTCCCCTTCTCTCTAAGATGACGCGGAGAACGCCACAGCGGTGATTGCACGGTGGGTACACTGCTCAAGTTATCTAGGTGAGGCAGAGATAGGGCGTTGAGGGAGGAGGGGCTGAGAGTGGTGCATGGGATTGCTAATGTGGTGGAGAAAGGCAACATGGGAGGTCGAAGGGGTGGGTGGGATTTGGGTTTGGGGTGGGATGTGAAATCTCATTCCTAGATTTTACTGTTATAATCTACGTATTTGTATTATTGAGATTTTATATTATTTTTCGGCAATTTATATTAATTTATTTGAATTTAGGTTTTAATTAAACTAGTTATGAGGGTTGAAGTTTCGAAATTAATTATTTAAATTCCGTAGACCTTTTGAGGTCATAATTTATATTTTCGAACACGTAGGCGAAAACCGTTCGTGAAATGGAGTTATAACGAAAAAATTAGACACGTTTTAGTTGTTGGGAAATAAACAAATAAATGTTTATAAGCTGCCAAGTGGCAGCAAGGGAGATGGGAGAAAGGAGAGAGTGCGGGAGAGAAAATGAGGGGACATACCAATCAGAAAACAAGGAAAAGAGGGGAAATGAGAGACCCAAAATTGGTCATTTTTCACCCACAAGCCACCATTTTTGATCTGGCAATATCTTCTTCATCTGACTTCCGCTTTGAGTGATTTTGGTGTCCATGGAAAGCTCTTGACGAGTCCTACATCCCTGTAGTGTTAGATTTCCATTTTTCCTTTCCATTTTTCTAGGTCGAAGCCACAAAGTGCCGAGGGTTTTCCGGTAAGTTTTCTCATTTTATGGTGATTCCGACAATGATTACCGTCGATCACCACTACCAATAGACTCCCCTCAACCCCTGGAGCAAGGCCCCAAGCATTGGATGAGGCGTCAGAGTTCGTTTTGGCGATGAATCAAGGAACACCCATTTCTAGGGTTTCAGGCGGGTTTGGATGAAATTGGGACACTTCCCAGTTGAATTGGACTTGGCCACAGGTATGAAAATTCTCCCTTCACTGAGATCTACTTGTTTGTAAAATTTGGTAATTTTTTAAAATAGTTGAATTTTTTGGCTAGTCAGGGCGGCCGACTGTCACCGACAGCAACACGTGGCCAGTGGGCCGATGATGTCTTCCTAAGTTCAATTAGATGCCCTGATTCCATAATTGATATTTGTATGACGTAATTTGATTGTTTGAAGTTAGTTTCATTACGATACATTACTTGATCAAAATATGAATCACCAATCCAACCGTTGGATTGTCACCAAGCCCTAATACGTTATAGAACATAATATTTGAATATAACTGGAACTGACAGATCAAGAATCCGATGTACGGATCTTCCTGAATTAGATTTCTAAGTTAGTAAAATTAATTGTTAACCGCCACCTAATTCTAGCAATTGGCGGAGATCCGACCGTCGGATCGCGATGAGATTTTAGTATAATGTTCTTTGAGCATAATGTGGACCTTAGGAAGTTACGGATCTCGATTGTGATGTGCGGATCTTATGGATTAAATTGCTAGGGTGTGGACCCCACCGTTAACTTTTGGTCAACAGGTTTTGAACCATTTGAATTACTAAAATTAGTATTACTAGAGACTCAGTGAAGCTTTGCGGACTTGTCTTGATGAGTGACTTTAATATATGTGATATGGTGATTACTTGATTCTTTATATTAATATCCTTTGTGGATATGACTTGATTTTATAAATGTGTTTTCTGTTAAAATGTGAGTCTTTTATAATTGGCCATCGATTTATTTTTATTAAATGTGATTTGATTCATGGATTGGTAATATTTGTGAAAAAGTGATTCGAATTGCATATTGAAATGTTTTGTAAATTGAGGACTAGTAGGGGACTATGACCCTGCTTGTTTAATCTGTGATATGGGGTCACTAGTGGTCCTGCTTGGTTAATCCGCGATAGGCGATCCTAATAACCATACATACTTAGGGGTGATCATGCTTGGTTAATCCGTGATAGGTGATCACTGCCTAACAGTTCCGTAGGTGTGACTCTGCTTGGTTAATCTGCGATAGGGGGTCATTACCTACTTAGTTATCTTGGTCCTGCTTAGTTAATCCGCAATAAGGGACCATGGTCCTGCTTGGTTAATCCGCGATAGGGGACTATATTTTCTATGGATCGTGCTTGGTTAATCTGCGATAGGCGATCCTTATATCTTTGGTATGGCTATACATACTTAGGAATGATCATGCTTGGTTAATCCGCGATAGGTGATCACTGCCTAACAAATGAGTATGAGTGACTCTGCTTGGTTAATCCGTAATAGGGGGTCACTGCCTACTTGGTTACTGCAGGGGTGGTTCTGCTTGGTTAATCCGCAATAGGGGGCCACTTTATGTTTGGTTACATATGTAGGTTTCGGCCGAACTGTGTTCCTTTAACCTTAGTTTTTAATGCACATATGAACGGTGGTTTTTGGTAATCTTGGTGGTTTGGATGGGAAAAGTCGTTGGATGTCTGGGTAACTCATTCGGAGTTTTCAGTGACTTGATTATGATTTCATAAAGCATGATTCTATACTCGATGTTTATAGATTGTAATCGATGGTTTGTTTTTATTGAATATCACATACTTGTATTATTGTCACTCACCCGAGCTTCGCAGCTTAAACCGAGTTATGATTTGCCAGTGCACTATTCCCTTGATGTAGGCACTGATTTTACATATGACAGGTCTGGGTAGATTACGAGAAACCGTTTGGTATTTTGGTTACGTTGAGTGATCCGGAATCCGGTGTTGTTGGATTCCGTTGAGTGGTCCGGAATCCTTGCTTTCGCTCATTCCCATAAGATTAGTCTAGAAACCTAGATTCGAGTGAATGAGAATTACCCACAATAGATCTTGTGAATACAAATTAGAATTATCATGTTTATTACTCATAATCCAAGTAGGGAATTATATAGAGTTCCTTGGTTAAATTCGTGAAATGATAAGTTATTGCATTGATTGATTAACGTAAGTAAATGCTAAGATTGTGCATCTTTGATTCATGAATTGATT